ATTGATTTTATTTGATTGAAATTTTTTTCTTTTAATTTGCAACACATTTTTTTTGAAATGTTCCTAAACAGCGAATACACATACATACATAAGTAGCTGAGCTTAAATAAAGCACAATGCATACACAACAGAGTTATAAATTTTTGATTATAAGAATGGTTTTCATTTTATGTATGTGTGTAAATGCTAGTACATAGTACAATTCTATGTACATACATACATACGTAGCTTCTTTTCATATATGTATGTACGTACAATATCCATATTAAAAATACCAAAACCTACAAAAAAAGACATCCACGAAATTTTCAAAAGTTTAAACAAATTTTTAGTAATTGCTACCAGAGTTTGAAAAAAATTAATTAAAAAAATACATATTATTGAAATTTATTCATATACATAAAAAACTCGCTTAGTTAAACATAACTGGTCTAAGTCGAAATTTGGTTGAATTTTTGTGTAGCGACTCCTAAATTTTATTTTTTTAATTTTGAAATTGTCGTGGATGTCCTTATTTTGTACGTAGGAAAACATACGTACATTAGGGTGTATCACTCTTTATACAAAACAAATCGGTGTTGTTTTTCCATCGGAAATATGAAATGTATGATATTTTAAGACTTGCGCCAAAATATTTCGGGAACAATTTTTAAATTAACGTGAAGAGGACCGATTTGAAAACACCTCAATTTTTTCTAAACATTCATCTCCGATGATAGAAGAGCTTAAAAGTTCTACATACAAATCTTTAAAAAGTTCATTAATCGAATAAAATAATGATATTTTTTGGAGATATTTTCAAATCGATCTATCTCACAACAGTTATAATAAAAAAATTTATAATTCCCGGGGAAGAACCTGCAACATTTTTTGGTGTTGCACACTCATGAACAAATACAGCTGTCCACAAAATAATAGGAGTACGATATTTTGACTAGGTTTGGCTATTTGTCTTTTGTTTATTTAATGTTTATTATTATTTTTTTTAAGTCCAGCAGGTTATACAACAAACCCCTTATCAATTCACATTTCAAACTTTATGCAAAAATTATAAAAATTCTGCAAATATTCTCCAAAATTTCAAACTCTATACGGAATCTTTAAAAAAAAATT